GGGCGGCAGAAATATAGCCTGAGAACCCATAACAACAATTGGCGACGCGGGAATCACTATGGCTATCTCCGTGGAGCAATTGCTAGGTATCATGCAGCAACGGGAAGATCAGTTTAAAGCAATTCAACTGAAAATGGCGGGATCATTGTTGCAGAAGTTCAGCCTGCATTTCCCTACTCCAGACTCCTCTGGGAAACAGTCCACGACAGCAGACGCAGCTGCTGCCTCCATCACCGAGTTTCATCATGATCTCGACTTTGCCGTGACATTCAAGGCTTTGTTTAAACGTTGGGAAGACATCTTCCGCATGGAATTTGCCAAATCGGATGATGCTTGGAAGATGCGCGTGCTGCTACGCGAACTGGGCACCAAGAAGCACGAGCGGTACACGGATATCATTCTGCCAAAAGACCCTCATGACCTCATTTTCGACAAAACCGTCAACCACCTGTCAGAGATCTTCAGCGAGAAGTCCTCCTTGTTCAGCATTCGATATCAGTGTCTCAAGCTGGCCAAAAAAGAGATAGATAATTTTCTGACACTCGCCAGTATCGTCAACCGTGAGTGGGAAAGGTTCAATCTCCGAGAGATGACAGAAGATCAGTTCGAGTACCTCATCTTTGTGATTTTCTGACACTCGCCAGTATCGTCAACCGCGAGTGGGAAAGGTTCAAGCTCCAAGAGATGACAGGTCAATTCGAGTACCTCATCTTTGCAGTCACCTCGTGATGCTGAAACCAGGACTTTTCCGCTCTAATTGGCCACTACCCGGACTCCACTCCTCAGACATTGACGGCCGAGTGTCAGCTGCTCAAGAATCTTCAACATGATTTTGCCATTGTGGAGCAACCCACTTACTCTTTTGCCATCAACAGCGTTCAGGCTGTCACCCGCACGAAGGCAATATCTCCACAGAAGCCCCAAGACCCCACACTCAGAAAGCCACCATCAGCATGCTGACAGTGTGGTGACTGGCATTTCGTTCGCTTCTGTCCATTCAAGAAGCACATATGTCAGAAATACCATAGACGAGGGCATGAGAAAGATCACTGCCCGACAGACCAACCCCACAAATCAAGGGCAGACAATAAGAAGACGAGGCGTCCCAACAGCCCTTCATCGTACTCCGGTCTACGGTGTCACTCAATTCGAGCCCAGTTCAAGACTGAATTTGACGCAGAGAAGAGGTATCTTACGGCTAGAATCAACGACAAGCCTGTACTCCTTCAACTTAACACAGCCTTAAAAATCACTCTTATCTCCAAGCGCACTTAGCGGATGCATGGACGGCCTTCGATGATCACATTGGACAAAAAGGCTATGATTGGGTCCGGAGGATTTCTCCGACTCATAAGTGAGCTTGAATGTGACTTTTCTTTTGATGGCATGCAATTCAAAGGAAAATTCTACGTCACCAAGCGTCCGAACCTCAACCTACTTGGCCTCGACTGGATCGAGAAACTCGGTCTCCTGGTATTGCCACTTAACTGCATTTGCAATAGTGCGCTCTCAACTGGGCCAAGTCCTGCCAAATCGAATCAGCCGGTAGCAAGGCTGATGTTGACTCTGCAGGAGAAATTCCCTTCTGCTTCACCTCAACCCTCTGGACGATTAGGACGAAGAAGAACGCAAGCGGTTCCATTGCAGGTAAACAAGCGTCTCAAATTCTACAATTCATCTTAAACAGGGGACGTGTAAGGGTTATTCCTAACAAGCAGTCCGAGTGAACTCTCGGGTCACCTTTTCGGTCCGCCCCCAGACAAAGGGCGTGCGCGGTGTGCGCGCCCCCTGAGGTCACACAAGCCGGCTAGGACAAAGGCTTGTGCGGACGGGCGTGCGTGATGGCCAATGAGGCCTCCAGGCGCATGAGGACACAATCTGATTGGTCCCATCTATAACCTTTCTTAACATTTAGCCGCCGTCGAGGGTCACGGTAAATGACTTCCTTTCCTTACAACCTTATTCGTTGTTCTCCTTGTTGGACTGACACAAAGAAACTGGGCGGCAAAAATCTAGCCTGGGAACCCATTACACCAAGCAGGTCCGGCTTTTTGTGTTGGGTATATGTGTGTGGCGTTGGTCATCTCATTTCTCACTCTCTTAACCTTTACCATCATCACCATGTGTTTGTGTCGCAATTCGAGACTACTGCGATGATTAGGAAAACGACATTGGCAAAAAGTAGAATCATGACGGCGAGGGCGGTGTTGGTGATGGTTGTAATGCCGGTAGTGATAGCGACAAGGACGTGGACAACGTCAGCGATAGTTTGTCCGGTTATCAGTCAGTCAGTATCAGTAAGCATAGTTTGGGTTAAATGACAGAAACCCTTAAAAACCCAACTGAAACTTCACAGGAATGCCTAAAAAGTCATGAAGAGGCAAACATTGTTGCAGTTCGCTTTAGTATGCAAAAATGCATAAAATATGAATGGCTAAAAAGGTGAGACGTCTGTAAAATAACAGTGTACAACATTTTCACCGCATTTCTACTATAAAATGTTCACCTAAGCTAACTCTAGTGTAAATGAATGGTCTACTGAAGCCAACCGAGTTTGTAGTCATCTGCATTATGTGGTAGGTGCGGGTTTTGGCGTTTGCATGGACGTTGAACAGTTGATTATCCAGGCGTCTCTTAAATACTCTAACAGTGGGGGAATGCACGACGGACGTCGGCAAAGTGTTCCACTGCCGAACGACCCTTTGAGAGAATAAGGAAGAGCATTTAGCTCTGCGGTACAGTTCCTTCTCTAGCCAGCAATCATATCCTCTGAGGTTCCTTCTTGGTTCCACTTGACATCCCGATCAGGTGTCCTTAGCAACTGAGAAAAGGGAAATTGATTTAAGGCTACCAGGCGCCGCTCGTATGTCAACTATTCAACTTCAGGGACCGCCTTTTAAGCACTTCCCTGACTTTGCGAAGCCAAGGCCGCTAAGCCTCTCTTCATAGTTGATATTCAGATCAGCCTCGCATAGAAAATGAAACTTTGCGATAATTGCATCAATGCCTTGTCTATAGTGGATAATATACAAATTTAAGGCAGTCAGGCGCTGCTCGTAGGCAGCATTACTCTTGTTGCAAAATTTGAGAGCACTGTGTTGTGACACTTAATCCGTCATTACTAAGTATGCCAAAGTACCTTTCCACGCTCACGGTTTCCAGTGGTTGGTCTCTCAAATTATGGTGTGGGTGATTCCGGTGACCACAAGGTACATATGCTATTTCCTACTTTCTCCCCCTCTGCAGGCCCTATCGCCCTGGTCGCCGGTGCTCAACGCTCTCTG